TCCGTGAATCCAAGCCGCACCACGACACCCCCGACAGCCATCACCTGCGGAAGGCTGTCGTGCGAACGTGGCCGAAATTATTTCCATCATGTCGACACCCACCACCGGCGCCTACGCCTGCACCAACACCAGCGCCTACACCGGCACCAGCGCCAGCGACTACGCCAGCACCGACGCTAGCACCAATGCTTTCGACTACACGGCGAGTCTTGGGAGTAAGATCGCCCAGCACCGACACCAGCACCAACACCAGCACCTACCCCAGCACCAACGCCAGCGCCTACACCGGCACCAGCGCTAGTGACTACGACAGAACCGACGCTAGCATCAACGCTTGCGCTCACATCAGCGCCAACACCGGCACCTACGCCAGCACCAACGCCAGCGCCTGCGCCGGCACCAGCGCCAGCGCCCATCAGCACCGAAGCGATCGTCAACGCCTGCGCCTACACCAGCGCCGACGACAGCACCGACGCCAGCGCCAACGCCGGCGCTTCAGTCGTAGCCCACGCCAGCGCCTACGTCAGCACCGACGCCAACACCGACGCCAGCACTTGCGCCGGCATCTATGCCAGCACCGACGCCACCACCGACGCCAGCATCAACGCCTGCGCCTACGCCGGCACCAGCGCCTACGCCAGCGCCGACATCAGCACCGACGCCAGCACCAACGCCTGCGCCTACGCCGGCACCAGCACCAGCGCAAGCGCTTGCACCAGTACAGACGCCAGCACCGTCGCCAGCACCTACGTCGGCGCCTACGTCTGCGCCGACGCCAGGACCGACGCCGGAATCAACGCCGGCGCCTATGCCAGCGCCTACGTCACTACCACCTTCATGGATACATCAGACTTGCCATGACCATTGATTTGACGCTCGTCGCACTGGGGGCTTCCTGATGTCACGGAATACCCGACAGGACGTGTCACGGCTTCCAGGAGCTGACACCACCGAGGTGGATATGACCATTACCGAGATGGAGACGGCCGATCAGGAACTAACCACCACCGAGGTGGTAAGGACCACGACCGAGACGGAGATCACCGATCAGGAGGTGACCACTACCTCCGCCAGCGCCTACGCCTGCACCAGCGCCGGCGCCTACATCAGCACCGACACCAGGCCGCAGCGCATCGGTTAGCTGCCCACCAGCTAACCGGTGCGCACCAGCGCAAGCACTAACGCCTGCGCCGACGCCGACACCAACGCCAGCGCATACACCAGCGCCGGCGCCAGCCTCTACGCTAGCACCAACGCTGGCGCTTACGCCGGCACCAACGCCGACGCCTACACCAGCACCGTCGCCAGGACGCAGCGCACCCGTTAGCTGCCCAGCTACACGGTGCGCTGGAGATGACCACCACCGAGGTGGAAACGACCACTGCCGAGAAAGAGACGATCGATCAGGAGCTGACCACCAATGAGGTGGAACTGACCACCACCGAGATGGAGACGACCTACATTTGCGACAGCAGCGCAGCCCAGCCCAGCAGCCACAATTGTCGCTGCCCATGCAGCCTCAGGTCCACAACACTGGCACCAACGCCGGCCGGCGCTCACACCAGCGCCGAAGCCCGCACCGACGCCAGCACCAACGCCAGCGCCTGCGCCTGCGCCTGCGCCAACGCCGGCGCCGACCCTAGCACCGATGCCAGCCTCGACGCCAGCTCCGACACCGGTGCCTACGCAAGCGACGGCGACAGCACTGACGCTAGCATTAACGCCTGCTCCAACTCTGGCACCAACGCCAGCGCCTACGACAGAGCCAACGCCAGCACCGACGCCAGCACCAACGCCTGCGCCTACGCTGTCACCAACACCAGCGCCCACCCCAACGCCGACGCCAGCACGACGTCAGCTCAAGCGCCAGAGCCTACGCCAGCCCCGAAACCAGCACTGACGTTAGCATCAATGCCTGCGAATACGCCAGCACCAACGCCATCGCTTACGTCAGCGCCGACGTCAGCACCGCCGCCCACATCAAAGCTTGCGCCTCCGCTCGCACCAACACAAGCGCCGACACCAGCGCCGACGCCAGTACCGACGCCAGCATGGCGGGTTGTGACAGAGAAGCTGTAAAGCTGTTCTGTTACCTCTATTTGGGATGTTCTGGCCTATCCGATATTGTACGGCAAATGGGCAGTACGTCAGCGCCGACGCCAGCATCAGCGCCTTCACTTACTCCAACGCCTACACCGGCACCAGCACAAGCGCCTACACCAGCGCCGACGCCAGCATCGACGCAAGCATGGCAGGCTGCGACAGAGAAGGTGTACAGTTTCTGTTTTCTGCTACCTCTATTTGGCCGCTCCATCTATGCGTTATTGGCGTGGTGGAGGCAATTGGAGCGGCCATATAACAGGGACGACCTCAGCCCCAACGCTGGCGCTTACGCAAACACCGACGCAAGCGCCTACGCCAACACAACGACGGCACCAGCACCTGCGCTTACGCCGGCACCAACTCCGTCGCCCGCACCAGCTCCGACGCCAGCCCCGACGCCAGCATCAGCGCCTACACAGTGATCTGAGGGCGGCTGCGCGAGGGCTATATCTCTTTCTCTCTCCCCTTCTCTTCCTCTTTCCCCCTCTTTGCATGTGCTTTTTGATGTGACGACGCTTCCTTTACCAGGGCGGCGCTGCAGTCTGGCCCACGCGTGCATGTGGGGTTTGGCTCCCCCGGGCGGGGTTGCGCCCCTTTTCTTTATGGGGGTCGACCTTCCTCGTACAGCCTCTTGATTTCAATTGTGGTGCACTTTTAAAGCTTCCTGGCTTCAGGTTTCTTGCTGTCTTGATTCACTTAGCACTGTTTTCACCCTGTTCTATTAGTTGTATCGGCTTGAGCCGCCTGTGGATGTCGGTGCGCTCGCCTGCGGGGCAGGTGAACCTCGCTTCTTGACACCGTGTCGGGGTTTCATTTGACATGCAGTTTCCTTGTCTCCCGTCCCCCTGCTGCTGTGCGCTGCTTGTCGTGCTCTCCTTCCTTCCTGCTCTGCTGCCTCCTCTCTCTCTCTCTCTCTCGCTCGCTTTCCTGCCTCTCTCCGTGCTGCTCTCGCCTCTTCCTCTTTCCCCCCTGCCGCTTGCTTCCTTATCCCTGCTTGTGCTGCTGCTGTCCATTGTCCTGCTGTCTTTGTAATTCCTTTCCGGGTTGTTGCTTCCATGGAGTGGAGGTGCGGCTCTTGCCGGTTGGACATTCCAGCGTGTACGGCTCCTGGGGTTTGGGCTTTGTTGCGGGGGGGGGGGGGGGGAAATGCCCCCACGAAGACCCAAGAGGTCCCCAAGTTGCCCTCAGGAGGCACGACTATGTCACGCGATTGTGCTTGATAGCGCTGTCCAAGATCTTCCAGCGCCCCCCCGGCCCGGGCTAGAGCTTGAGCACGCGCGCGAAGCGCGCGCGATCGTTCTAGTATGTTCTAAGGATGTATCCACGAGGCCTCCCAGCGGAAGCACCAGCACCAGCACCAGAACATCTCCTATTCGCGCGTGCGGAGCGGCCGCCGTTCCCACAGAGTCTCCAGGATCCCAAAATGGTGGGGCAGCGGAGTCTGCCCCCTCAGGGGCGTCCAATTAAATACGTAACACCCTGCCGTTGCGGATAAGAGTGAGGTGGCGGCGAGGACGTCGTCAGTCTGCGAGGCTCTGAAGAAGCCCGCCGTAGGCGCCTAATTTTCACAATTTATACAGTGAGCCCACCGCAGGCGCCGATTTTTTCGTTACAGCAATGTGGGTGGATCGCGGGGTGGGTCGCGGGTGGGTCGCGGGTGGGACGCGGGCTGGGTCGCGGATGGGTCGCGGGTGGGTCGGATGGGTCGCGGGTTTGGGACGCGGGCTGGGTCGCGGATGGGTCGCGGGTGGATCGCGTATGGGTCGCGGTTGGGTCGCGGGTGGGTCGCGGGGTTGGTCGCGGGGTGGGTCGCGGGTGGGTCGCGGGGTGGGTCACTGGTGGGTCGCGGGGTTGGTCGCGGGGTGGGTCGCGGGGTGGGTCGCGGGGTGGGTCGCGAGGTGGGTCGCGAGTGGGTCGCGGGGTGGGTCGCGGGTGGGCCGCGGGTTGGTCGGGTGGGTCGCGGGGTGGGTCGCGGGGTGGGTCGCGGGGTGGGTCGTGGGGTGGGTCGCGGGTGGGTCGCGGGATGGGTCGCGGGCGGGTCGCGGGGTGGGGACGACAACAACAACAACAACAACAACAAACAGAATCCCCACCACGGATCCCCACTTCAGCCACGCACACAGGGACAATGAATGACCGCTCGGCCCCCTCACTCTGATAAGGAAGTATCGAGCGGGAGCCGCTGTCGTCATTCAGCGGCTGAGATTCGGACGCAATCCCACGCTCGAACGGGAGCGTCGGTTTCAAAGAAAAGGCAGTCGGCGTCGAGGCGAGAGCGCCCGGAACCGTTTCTGGGGGTCCACAATCAATCGTATTTTTGTCTTGGAAATGAATATCCGACGACGGCGACGACGATGACGACGACGACGGCGGCGGCGGCGGCAGTGACGGCGACGGCGACGACGACGACGACGGCGGCGGCGACGACCACGACGACGACGACGACTGCGGCGGCGACGGCGACGGCGACAACTGCGGCGGCGCCGGACGGAGGGAGGATCTCCTCATCATCCCCCATCCTCCTCTTCATCTTTTTGGCCATCGGGGGGAGGGCTCTTCGCCACGACTGGATCCCTCGCGAACCGAATGATCATCGGAATGTGCTCTAGACCAGATCTTTGGGTCGGTCTTGAGGGAGGACGCCGTGGCCAGCAGCGGTGGCGGCCGCAGCCCGTGACCGCGGCCACGTCAGCAGCAGCGAAAGACCCTCAGATCCGCCCGCCGCGACATCTCACGCCACCCAGATGCTCGGGCCTGCTGCTGCCCCTCCTCCCCCCCCATCCCCCCTCCTGCCCCTCCATCCTCGCCGATGCTCCTCAACCCCCCCACCCCCCCGCCAGCTCCGCCCTCGATCCTCCCCCGTCCCCCGCCCCGCCAGCTCCGCACGCCGCCCCCAGGCGGCACGGCGCGCGCTACGCCAGCGTGACGCCCCGTGCACGGGTCAACTCCGACGCGGGTGCCACGATCTCGTGCCCGCCGGCCCGTCAGGCCGCGCACAGGCTCCAGCTGCAGTCACCCGAAAGGGCGGGGCACGAGGAGCTTTTGACCCCCTCGAGCCATGAAAAAATCATGCCGGCAGGTTTTTCTTTATTTTCGCCCTCTGGGCGCCTTTGCCAGGCCTCGGGACCGACCAAAAAAATATTCGGGATGAGACACAGGTCCCGGGGAATGGGTCGACACACTTGGGTGTCGACGGAAAAAAAAACTATGACGTCGGGGGTCTGGGGACATCGCCGCAGTCGTCGTCGTCGCCGTCGCCGCCGCCGCCGTCGCCGTCGCCGCCGCCGCCGCCGACGTCGAGCGTCGCCGCCGCCGCCGTCGAGGAGCCCCAGGAGGCGCCGGAGGAGCTGGGTGGCCTGCCGTCGCTGGCGCCGCGCGGCGCGGCCATCAGCAGGCACACCAGCCCGACAGGGCGGCTGCCAGTCTTGGGCACGGCGGGGCGGGCCGCCACCTTGAGCGAGGTCAGCGTCGCCGTCGCCGTCGTCCCCGACGTTGTCGTCAACGTCGTCGTCCCCTCCACCTCCGCCTTCTCCTCCTTCTCTCCCATGCGCGCGGCCTGAGTGGGGTGTGTCATCCGGGCGTCATCCAGGCGTCGCGGGAGGAGGGGGAGGAGGCGGAGGAGGAGGAGGAGGAAGAGGAGGAGGAGGAGGACGCCGGACGCAACATAGAACGGCGAAGCATCCGAGAACGCGACGACGACGACTATATGATATTGGGAGAGGGTGACGACACACCAGCCCTCAGAGAAAGCCAAGCAAATTACGGTTTAGACTGGACTAGCCTGATCCCAGTTGCTGGGTGCTTGCCTTCAGAGAGCCAGTCCCTGGCTCGCCGGCGGGCAGGGTCGGGGGGCTTCGTGGGGCAGGGGCCCCACCAAGGGCCTCGATCTTGGCCGAGCCCAAGGCAGCTCGGGTCCTGCAAAGCCCACAGAACAGGAAGGACCCTGCCCTGTGAAAATGGTGCCCGTCACACACGAGTAGACTCCCACCCGCCTCCACACCCAAACTGACAGCCGCAGCGGCATAGGCAGCCTCACCCTCCCCCTCGGCATGCTGGCGCCAGCCGAGCCGCAAGCGGGCGCAGCATCGGCCCGGGCTCACACCTAGCTTGAGCAAAGACTTGCCACTGGCTGGTGTCCGAGCAACCGCCAAACATTGCCTGCACTGCAACGCCGAGGAACCAGGAGCCAGGGGCACGGTATCGTGAGTAACAATAACCAGCCTCGGCCTTTCCTCCTTGGGCGGCTGTGGAGGGGCTAGGACAGCACAAGAAGCATCTGGCCGAGCACAAGTAATCTGAACCGCTCGGGCCAGAAACTGGCATGACAACTTGCACTCTATAACGGCCTCCTGGAGGGACGCGGCCGCAACGTCGGCAACAGCAACATCAAGGGCTCCAAGCTAGGCGGCGAAGAAATCCGCCCAAGCATTACCCATGAACCTCCAAATTTCGCCAGCACTCGCTCCTTGCTCAATTAACCTCTCAAAACAGAGGTGCGCAGGAGTCCAGTGGAGCTCCGGGCGCATAGCATGGCGAGCACAACCACGAAATATGCTGCGCCAAATCGACGCGTGCGGGGCAAGGCCATGCTCAAGGTTGGGATCCCAACCTTGCCCCCGCGAACAAACGAAAGGTGATCATTAATTATGACGGGAGGGCTGGTCTCCAGCAGGCCCGAGGGAAACAGCATCGAGCCCAGCCCACCTTTCGGACTGAGGGACCGATTGGAAGCGCCCTGGGAGCCCGCCGAACTTGGCTCTCAAGGGCCAGCCGTCCTCGAAAATCTCGACAACGCTCCAACCACATCGAGTGGCTTCGGGCACCGCACTGTGCAGCCCCGACCCGTCAGTGAACCTATATCTACCCTAGGGACCGTCCACGCGACCCCAGGTGAGCACCGGCGGCCGAGCTAAGGGAGGGGGCAATTGGGTGGGGAGCGAGGGAAGCCCGTAGAGGAGAGGAACGCGATCCCAATCAGGAGAACCGATGTTGACATCGTACCCTTTCTCCCACAAGGCCTGCCTACGCGCCCAAACGTAGTTGGGAAAACACATGCTGCCCGCCTCCTCCGCCCCAGACACGAAGGCACACGAGCAATCATAGAGTTGGTGGCCCAATGTGGCGTGGGGGGCCTGGCAGAAAGTGCAAGCAGCAGACGGGGCCAGCCCAGCCGCATGCTTGCGAGCTGGTGGCCACAACCCTCCAGACCAGAGCGCGACCCTGCGCCAGAGCCAACGCTCCACACCATCGCGCAACAAATTGCGGACCTCGCACGGCGAATACACATACAGCGAGATATGGTCTCCGAGATCGGAGGTGAGGAGGTTGAGAGCGGCCATGTCCCACCCGACCCTGCGAAGGGAGAGAAGAACGGCAGAAATCGGCCCAAAGCATTGCCTCCAGGTCCCCTGGGCTCCGAGCTTATCCCGCATTGTGCTCCAAGCCCTCATCAACATATTAGGGGAAGTCCTACCATCCCAGAGCCAACACGCATACCTGGCGACAAGGGGGCATGTGGCATCAAAAGTGGCATCATACAGCCTATCTTTCTGCGTGCACGTAGAACCTGTCAGGGAGGCCAGGCCACGCCTAGCGCCTACCAACTCCCCTGTAAAAGAACTGAGTTTCATGAGAGTGGAGTCAGTGAGGCCCACTACACCAGCCCCATGGCTACCCGACGGCAAAACCCCCGTGCGCCACAGAACCCGGACCTTCATTCAGACCCCCAGCCCTTCTAAGGGCGCGAAGTTGGCCCCGCCTCCCAAGCACCGCCCCAAACCTCTTCCTCTCAAGGGCTCTGTGGGCGATGCCTCCTGCAAAGGTGTCGTGGCCAAGATTCTGCGCCGTCCGACACGCCTGGAGCTTCAGCCTGGCCGCTCTCGACTTCACAGCACGAGCTGCTTCCGTCGAGGACGCAGGATAACCGGACTTGGAGGCCTGCAACAGAAACCCTAGCTGGCGGGTGTAATTGGCGAACGCCGTGACAGCATTAAAAACAACCCCGTAGGAGGAGGAGGAGGAGGAGGAGGAGGAGGAGGAGGAGGAGGAGGAGGAGGAGGAGGAGGAGGAGGGGGGGACATGAGCGCGACTGGTCGATTCGCCCCTCTTCGGACCTGGGGAAGCCTCACCGATCTATCCAGGTCGAGAGGCCCAGACCTCCGACGGTGCGGCCCTCGTTCGAGGCGTTGTGCCCTCGGAGCTCTCGACCCCCGACAGACTTTGATCGAGGGTTATGATGCTCCAACCTCCTTTGGCCTTGATCACCAGAAACAATTTCGAGTACCAAGAGTACCCAAACTGGAGGTGTTTGGCGTGTCGTGCCCTGGGAGGCGACACTCGTTCGACACTTGTTCGATACTTGTCTTTGTGCTCGAAATTATTTTTGGGATGTGGTCCTTAAATACGATGGGAACAACATAAATCAAGGGCCGGTTTTCCCAACTATCTTGTGGTGGCAGGTCCTATATTTACAGAGACAGTCCTCCGCGTCTCCTCTAGAATGACACAATGTGAATACTGCTCTCATCTCTCCCCTGACGACTTCCGCAAGATATCCGGCCCCCTCCGCGTATTGTTTTTCACAAACAGGATTCTGAGGAATTGGGTTTTCGCTAGGTGCTGTTTTTCGACATGTTGCGCCTGCTGAAGCCCCGAATCGTGCTCCCGCTGCAGCGCTGGCCTCATTTCCGCGCTTCCGCTCGTCCCGAATCGTGCTCCCGCTGAAGCGTTGGCGTCATTATGTCCAGCGCCATGCCACGGCATGGTTTTCGGTCCTGCCAAACAGGCCCAATAATATAGAAAATGGCCTCCCGAAGAAACCATCGGAAGTGATTACACATTCGGTGTCGTTTCGTGGGTTTTTGGGGGCCGCAGAAGCCCCTCCCGCTTTAGGGCGTCGCCACGCCATGCTGTGTCATGCGACGCGCTGATATTCAACACCATGTTGTGCCATGTAATGCTACGCCCTGCTACGACATCCGAATGTGCGAATAGAGAGGAGATCTACGCCGTGGTAAGGGATAGGAGGGAGGGGTAGGACGTCAGATATGACGCGAGCGCACCTAGCTTGCCTCTCCCCCCTCCTGCGCCTCGAAACTTCTGCTCTCCGCATCAGCATACCAGTTCGGTTCACCCCACACACGCGCTGTGGCCCCATAACGAGCTCTTCAGAAGGCCCCAGTGGAAGGGTCCACGCGTCTCCCAGCCCCATTTGAGCGCATTCCTCACACGTTCCCTAGCACCATAACGAGCTCCTCCGAAGGCCCTGATAGGAGGGTCCACATGCGTCTCCCCACCCTATTTCGGCGCATCCCTCACACGTTCCGTGGCCCCATAGGGAGCTTTACCGAAGGCTCCAGTGTGAGGGTCCACATGCGTCTCCCCGCTCCATTTCGGCACACCACTCCCACGTTCCGTGGTCCACAGGCAGCTCCACCGAGGGTCCCAGTGAGAAGGTCCACGTGCGTCTCCGCGACCGACTTCGGCACACCACTCACACGTTTTGTGTCCCATAGGGAGCTCCTCCGAAGGCCCCAGCGACAGGGTTCACATGCGCGGCCTCGTCCCATTTCGGCGCACTCCTGACACGATTCGTGGCCCATAGGGATATCCACCTAAGGCCCCAGCGGGAGGGTCCACATGCGTCTCCCCGCCACATGCCAGCGCACCCAGCACATTTGTCGTGTCCCCGAGCTCCACCAAAGGCTTTGGCCCATGTCGCCACACCCTTCACAAGCTTCGTGGCTTCACCGGGAACTCCACCGAAGGCCCCGGGGTGAGGGTCCACATGCGCTTCCCCGCCCCATGTCGGCACACCCCTCACACGCTTCGTGGCCCCATAGGAGCTCCACCGAAGGCCCCAGTGTGAGGGTCCACACGCGCCCCCCCCCCCATGTCGCCGCATCCATCACACACTTCGTGGCCCCATAGCAGCTCCACCGAAGGTTCGAGCGTGAGGGTGCACGTGCGCCTCCCCGCTCCATGTCGACACACCCCTCACACGCTTCGCGGTCCCATAAGGATATCCACCTAAGGCCCCAGTGGGAGGGTCCACATGCGTCTCCCCGCCCTATTTCGGCGCATCCCTCACACGGTCCGTGGCCCCACAGGGAGCTCTACCGAAGGCCGCAGCGGGAGGGTCCACATGTGCCTCTCCGCCCCGTTTCGACACACCACTCCCACGTTCCGTGGCCCACAGGCAGCTCCACCGAAGGCCCCAGTGGGCAGGTCCACATGCGCCTCCCCGACCGATTTCGGCACACCTCTCACACGTTTTGTGTCCCATAGGGAGTTTTTCCGAAGGCCCCAGTGTGAGGATCCACGCGGCCCCGCCCCATTTCGGCGCACTCCTGACACGCTTCGTGGCCCCATCGGGATACCCACCTAAGGCCCCAGCGGGAGGGTCCACATGCGTCTCCCCGCCACATGCCAGCGCTCCCCGCACACTCTTTGTGGCCCCGAGCTCCACCAAAGGCCCTGGCCCATGCCGCCACACCCGTCACAAGCTTCGTGGCCTCACAGGGAACTCCGCCGAAGGCCCCAGTGTAAGTGTCCACATGCGCCTCCCCGCCCCATGCCGGCACACCCCTCACACGCTTCGTGACCCCGTAGGAGCTCCTCCGAAGACCCCAGAGTGAGAGTCCACATGCGTCCCCCCCCATGTCGCCGCACCCCTCACACGCTTCGTGGCTCCATAGGAGTTCCACCGAAGGCTTGAGTGTGAGGGTGCACATGCGCCGTCCCGCCCCATTTTGGCACACCCCTCACACGCTTCGCGGCCCCACAGGGATATCCACCTAAGGTCCCAGTGGGAGGGTCCACATGCGTCTCCCCGCCCTATTTCGGCGCACCCTTCTCACGCTTCGTGGTCCCATAGGGAGCTCCACCGAAGGCCGCAGTGGGAGGGTCCACATGCGCTTCCCCAACCCAGTACAGCGTTTTTGTGGCCCCATACGGAGCTCCACGTAAAGCCCCAGTAGCCGTGGCCGCGGCCGCATGCGCAAGCCCCAGAGGGAGGGTCCACATGCGTCTCCCCAACCCAGTACAACGTTGTTGTGGCCCCAGACGGAGCTCCAGTTAAGGCCACAGTAGCCGTGGCCGCGGCCGCATGCGTCTTCCCCATCCAATACAACGCTGCGTAGCCCCATAGCGAGCTCCACCGAAGGCACCAGCGGGAGGGTTCACATGCGCTTCCCCGCTTAATTCCCGCACACCTCTCACACGCTTCGTGGCCCCATAGGAAGTTCCACCGAAGTTCCCGTGGGAAGCTCCACATGCGTCGCCCCACCCCACTTCGGCACACACACACACCTCACACGCTTCCTGGCCTCATAGGGAGCTTCACCAAACGCCCCAGTGGGAGACTCCACATGCGCCCCCCCCCATGACACCACACCCCTCACACGTTTCGTGTCCCATAAGAGCTCCACCGAAGGCCCCAGTGGCCGAGGCCGCGGCCGCATGCGTCTCCCCCATGCATTACAGCGCTTCGCAGCTCCACAGGGAGCTCCACCGAAGGCCCTAGTGGGAGGGTCCACATGCGCCTCCCCGCCCAATTCCAGCACACCGCTCACACGCTTCATGGCCCCACAGGGTGTTCCACCGAAGTCCCTTGTGGGAAGCTCCACATGCGTCGCCCCCCTCCGTTTCGGCACCCCACACACGCTTCGTGGCTCCATAGAGCTCCTCCGAAAGCCCCAGTGGGAGGGTCCACGCGTCTCCCCTACCCAGGACAGCGCTCCTGTGGCCCCATACGGAGCTCCTCCTAAGACCCCAGTGGCCGTGGCGCGACCGCATGCGCCTCCCCCATCCAATACAGCGCTTCGTAGCCCCAAAGGGAGCTCCACCGAAGGCCCCAGTGGCCGCGGCCGCATGTTTCTACCCCACACAGTACAGCGCTTCGCGGCCCCATGGGGAGCAGCACTGAATGTTCCAATGGCCGTGGCCGCGTGCAGCGAAGGCTTTGGCGACGTTCGAATGCGGGCCTAGGGTCAATTTCGGCGCACCCTCACACGCTTCGTTGCCAGATAGGGAGCTCCACCTAAGGCCCCACTGGCACCGCTCGCATGCGCTTCCCACCACCACCACTGCGGCACAGCAATCACGTTTTTCTGGCTCAAGTGCTCAAGTGCTATCTCGTTCAAGTGTTATCTCGCTCAAGTGCTATCTCGCTCTTACACCAAATATTACACCATCCTACCCAGTACTTACATCTCTTCTCGCCATCGGTAACAGCCGCTGTACTGTCTTGAGCGATGCCGGCACAAACAGCATCCAAGCGTTCAGGGTCTGGGACATCCACGGGGCCCACTCCGGAGAGGAAGTCCAGGGCCATCAAAGACGTGATCGACGTGGACTCCGAGGGGGAAGAGTTGGCGTGCGTTGATGATGCGGACAATTCGATCGTGGAGGAGGGGAGCAAGGGGAGTAAGGGAAGCAAGGGGAGTGAGGACGAGAAGGTGCCAGGGTGGGCTGTCTCCCAGGGCCGGGTGCTTAACCAGCTCGTCGGTTTGGTGAAAGGCCTGCAGACGAACCTCAAGGAAATGAAGGCAGAGCTTCATGAGGTCAGGGACGAGCTCGCACAAGTAAGGACGCAGGCAGGACTGGCGCGTGCGGGGGCGGAGGAAGCGATGGAGAAAGTGACCATGGTGGAGGATCAGATGAACGAGATGAGCGGAAAGCTGCTAACCCGGATTGATGTTGAGACGATCGTCGCAGACACAAGGAAGGGGATCCCAGGCAAGCAATCGAACGTGGACTCGGCCAACGTGGAGGATACGGACAAGTTCACACGCACCGCTGTCATTGGAGGTTTTCTTCAGGATTCCGAAAAGTCCCTGGTGACTGACTTCATCAAAGACTCGATGCTGACCAACGTGGAGGGCGTCGAGGAGATCTACGCCTACAGCTTCGGCAGCGTCGGTTTCATAAGGTTCCAGGCGCCGAAATTATCATACGATTTTGTTCGCAAATTCAAGAGCAAACCCAAGCCAGAGTTTGAGGGGGAGGCTTTGTGGGCATCTTCTTCAAAGAGCCGCGAAGAGCGGATCCGCGGAAAGACACTCGGGAAGCACAAGAGAATGATGATTGAGGTAGGCAGCGTGGCTCCTGAGAAAGTCCGGGTCGACTACCAGCGAGGGGCACTTCTCGCAGGTCACATTCGAGTCGGCGAATGGAAGGGGGAGGGGGGCGACGGCGATGTAGAGCTGCACGAAGGGAAGTTTGCCGAAGCTGGCATATGGACGGACGCGAAGACGCTCGCGGATGCCGTCGCGGAGGCGATGAAGCTTTAGGACGCAACATTCCTTCCAGGGAGAGCGAGGAGCACCCGGGGAAGTACACCATCACCAGAAAGCGAGAACAGTTCGGAGGCAAAGTATTCCGTAAGTTTCACTGCTCATGAGTACAACGTGCACTCGCTGATGAATGTTGATGATATTGTTGAGCGTTGCTTGGAAGAGTTGGGTAATCATCATTGGGACGTATTAGTATTTGTGGAGACATGGCGCGAGCAGAAAGTGGAATCGCGGGACGCGAAACACGGACGCAGACGGTTCGGCAGCGGCGGCACCAGACGCTCACGAGGAGCGGGTTTTCTATTTCATCAGCGCTGGGTTCATGGGATTTCAAGCCTTTGTCTGACATGGCGGCAACGCTAGACATAAAAATGAACAGCTTCGGTGTAATCAGGGTTGCTGCGGTCCATATGCCGCGCGCTGAACAAGAAGAGGAATTTGTCGAAGCACTCTACTGTGAAGTGGCGAGTCTTTATCACGACGCTCAGTTGCGAGGCTACCGGTTTTTAATCGCAGGGGATTCCAATGCAGAGATTGGCCCTCGTTCTGAACACGATGGCCCTCGTCTCACGGGCGGCAATCCGATGCCAATCCGGAACGAAGGGGGGGATCTGCCGTCACAGTGGAGTTTGATGCACGACATGGTTATTGCAAACTCGTTCTTCGCAACGGCCTCCGGAGAGGCGCGGGCCTTCCGGAACGCAGATCGCCGGTCTCAACTCGATTACATACTAGTTGACATCAGCTTGAAAAAGCACATTCGGCAGCGCATTGTGGACGGAAGCGTCGACGTTGGCACTGATCATAGACCAGCACGCCTTGATCTGGGCATCGTCGTGGATAGGCGGCCCAAGCAGAAGAGACGGAGGCGCGACAAGTGGGTGCCTGGACAATCGCACACCCAAGAGCTCGACTCTATGCTCCGGGAGGCTCGGTGGGACGCGCTCTCAGCAGCAGAGAAGATGGACGGGATTAACCGGTGCATGAAAGAAGCGGCGGGCCGAGACAAGACAAGGTCGCGTTCGAATACGAAAGACCCGGAGACGCTTGCATCGACCTTGGATGTCAAAATCCGCACGCCCATTCAGCTGCGGAGGCAGCTCCCTGCATCAGACCGGACACCACAGGAGAAGAAACGATTGCGCGTGGAGTGGGGGAAAGCCATCCAGAAGTTCATTCGCCACAGGCTCAGCCAACAGCGCGCTGACGACATCGCAGAAATCCTTTGTGAATTCCGTGGTCTACAACGCCTGGCCGCCATCACGGGGAAGAGCAAAAAGACGCACATCACGGAGGTAAGAAACAAGAGCGGGGATCTGGAGCACGACATAGCATCTATAGCGGAAGTCTTCGCGCAGTTCTACGAGGATTTTCCATTCTATTTCAAGACAAGGCAATAGGGCATCCCCCCGCGAGATGCGCGGCGGAGACCGGGTGCCCGATTTCACGGAAGATGAGCTGAGAGGCGCAATCCAGGAGATGCGGAACGGCAGGTCCGGCGACGACAAGGGGATCACAGCTGAGATGGTCAAGGTGGATTGCCCCTTCCTGCGCGAGCTAATCCTGAGCACCCTCAACGCAATACTGGATCCGAGCCAACGCCTGCCTTCTGACTGGATGGAGAGCCGCATCACAGTGCTGTTCAAAAAAGGAGACGCGTCTTTGCCATCGAACTACAGACCGGTCGCCATCCTAGCCATATTGCACAAACTCTTCAGCAAGCTCTTGCGCGGCAGGCTCCGCGGCACCACGTCAGATGGCCGATCGGTCGACCAGGCGGCATATCGCAAAGGGTTCAGCACGATAGATCATCTGCTGACCGCCACCTTACTTGCAGAGGCCAGCAACACGTACAATGCTGAACTGTGGATGGGGCTTGTAGACTTTGAAAAGGTTTTCGACACCGTCGAGCACGATGCTTTGTGGAAGGCGCTGCGAGAACAGCGCGTGCCGGACGGGTACATCGATTTGTTGAAGAGCTTATACGCAAAGCAAGGGGCCAGAGCTTCAGCAGGAGAGAAGAGCCGTTTGTTCGACATTACGCGAGGGGCCAAGCAGGGAGACCCAATTAGTCCTTTTCTCTTCATTGTGGCAATGGAGGCAAGATCCAGAACCTTGAAGCGCAGGTGGGCGAGTTTGAACGCAAGAAGGAGTGGTCCGTATTGTGGCATTGTGATTGATGACCCGTCCGAGCCCCTCACTAACCTTCGCTTCGCCGACGACGTCCTGTTAGCGTGCGCTTGCAAGAGAGATGTTTCGCGAATGATCGTTGGCCTCGAAACAGAGGCAAGAAAGCATGGCCTGAAGTTGCACATGGGGAAGACGGCTGTGCTCGCGAATGCAGAAGAGCGGCCGCTGCACGTCCAATGCGGGGGACACGATGTTCGAGCATTACAACGCGGGGAAGCAGAAAAAAAATGGGAAGGAAACAGACGTTCGATGCATACCACGAGACGGAGCTGACTAACAGAATCTCTGCTGGATGGGCTTCTTTCACAAAGTTGAAGTCAGTGCTCTGCGACCGCCGGCTTTCTCTGGCAGACCGCATGCAGCTTTCCTGCGCCTGCGTCACGCCTGCGGTGCTCTACGCAGCGGGAACGTGGACGTTGAAGAAGGACCAGGAGAGAAAGCTTCAGTCTGCACAGAGGAGAATGCTGCGGAGCATGGCGGGCGCCCACCGGCGACCGGACGAGGACTGGGCGGAGTGCATCCGGCGCGCCACTCACGCATGCCTGGGCTTAGCTGAAAAACACCACGTTGAAGAGTGGACTATGCTCTCACAGAAGTACAAGCGGGAGCTTGCCGCCGGGGGTGCTCTGTGCGAAGACGCCCGATGGAACGCGCGGCTTCTCGACAGGATTCCGCGGCATCGGTTCTTGCCCCGCCGCTCACAAGGCGGGCAGAAGAAGCGCTGGACTGAAATCTGGGGCCGCCATTGCACATCATGTTGCAGAGTTATGGTATTTCTTCCTCTTGTGCGCCGCTTGCGATTGATTCTCATGCATAGCCACACGTGCTCTTGTCTGTTCACTGTTGTCTCACCCATCTTCCCATTTTGCACTGTCCTTCATTGCCTTCTGTAGTCATATGATGTCCATTATTCTTGCGGCCCGGCGCAATGCCGGAGCAGGCGGGCTTCCCCCCTGCCTCCAATGGCCGTCGCATCGCAAAAAATTGGCCCCATAGGGAGCTCCACCGAGAGCGGTAACCACAACGCGGCATTCATAGTTGCATGCGGTTGAGCCTCTCGCCAGGATAGTTTTGACGGCCAGTCCAGAAACGGCTTCCAGATACCGAAGATGACGAAAAACATGTGGCACAATTTCTTCGAGTCGTCAGATGTTAGGGAATTAAACAGAAAGATGGGTCGAGAGCTCTGGTCGTGAGGTGGTCGGATCTCGGCGGGGGCGATGCTGTCCGAAAGGCTCCAGGGGCCGCGGGCCGGTGTCGGCTAGCAGGGGCGGAGAGGGCCTTTTTAGCGCATCCCCCTTCCCCTTGCGGCTTTTACGAGTAGCACTAGAGTGTGAACATATGCAGGGCACACCGCATAGCTTACACACCATAGTTGACACCGCATAGCTTACAAAGCATGGCTTGCACCACATAGCTTACACAACATAGCATGCACCGCGTAGCTCACACCGCAAAACTAGCGCAACGTAGCTTACACCACATAGTTGTACACCTCCACAGTGCAAGCTCACTGTTTGGGGTCTACGCTGGTTAACATTTTGTTGAGGACCGTTGGGGTCTTCGTATATATTTGCAAGAGCGTGTTTTGCCACTGCTGGCAGACCACCGGGCGGGAGTCACTGGGGGGTTCAAACCCGCCCCCCCCCCTCCAAATCTTGAAAACCGGGAGGGGGGGTCACTGGGAGTTCCAAACCCGTCCCCCCCAACACCACTCCATATGAAAGAGGAGGGGGTTCACTACCGGTTCGAACCCCCCCCCTCCCCCTACTCGCAGCCGGCAAACAATTTCCCCCCCTCTCCTCCCCCAGTCCAGATGGGGGACTGGTGGGGACAGTGGCGGGGACGGTGGTGGGGATGGTAGTGAAAACGGTGGGAACAGTGGGACAGCGGCGGGGACAGTGGGGACAGTGGTACGGTGGGGACAGCGGGGACAAAGGTGACAGTGGGGACAGTGGGACACTGGGACAGCGGGACAGTGGTACAGTGGACAGCAGGGACGGTGGGGACAGTGGAGACAATAGGACAGTGGGGACAGTGGGACAATGGGACAGTGGGACAGTGGACAGCAGGGACGGTGGGGACAGTGGAGACAATGGGACAGTGGGGACAGTGGGACAATGGGGACAGTGGGACAATGGGACAGTGGTACGGCGGGGACAGCGGGGACAATGGTGACAGTGGGGACAGTGGGACAATGGGACAGTGGGACAATGGTACAGTGGACAGCAGGGACGGTGGGGACAGTGGAAACAATGGGACAGTGGGGACAGTGGGACAATGGGGACAGTGGGACAATGGGACAGTGGTACAGTGGGGACAGCGGTGGGGACAGTGGGGACAGTGGGACAGCATAGTGGGACAGCGGTGGGGACAGTGGGGAGTGGGAACAGAGGGACAGTGGTGGGGAGTGTGGGACAGAGTGGTGGGGACAGTGGAGAGAGTGGGACCGCGTTGGGGACACTAGGACAGTGGTGGGGACACTGGTGGGGACAGTGGAGACAGTGGTGGGGACAGTGGGAGGCCGAACGGCCCTCCGAAGACCCCAAGAGGCCCCAGACATCCACCAGACACCCGAAAACGACCCAAAGAAGAACCCCAAGAGGCTTTCAAAACGAAGGAAAATGCTGTTTTGCATGATTGTGGGGATGCCCTGTTCTTCGGTCTTCTGGGCGTCCGAGACCGCGTGGGAGCCCCGAAAATCGCCCCAAAACCATCCGAAAGGGCTTCCAGGCAGTCCAAGAGAGCCCCAAGACGGCACAACAGGGTTCCAAGATGGCTTAAGAGAGCCCCATGGTGGCCCAAGATGGCCCCAAGACACATTCCGAAGCATTCCAAATCGTGACCCGGTCGTTCAGGGAGACCGCGGTTGGAGGCAGGGTGGCCGGAGGAAGCCCCCAGAATTCCGAACGCATGCCAAATTTCAAAGACCAAGGTGCATGGCGCGAAGCGCCAGTGCAGTCTTGTATGTGCGTGTACAGATGTACCGGCATAGACACACACATCTGTATATATATATATATATATATATATATATGATTGAAGACCAGATCAGTCAGATTTGATATCGGTATTATTTGACATATATTCGAATTAAAGGAATACGCAATGTAAATAGTTTAGTAATATAATGAAGTGCTTACTTCCAATATTACAAGTCTCTACATTGCTGAAATCTGAACATTCAAAATGCGTCACATTCTTAGTTCATATTATGTTAGCAAATTATTTGAATAGTATTAAAATAGTTAAATTATTCAAATGGAACATGTTTAAATTAAGTCTTTAAAAGTATTTGAACTGTTTTTCGTTGATTAATACTTCTTAATTTATTTTTATAAATATATAGGATGTCGATACAATTTAGGACGATGTTGGTTATTCAATAAAAAAAGTATCGTCCTAAAGTGATGCAGGCCCGTGATAGTTTATCAATGAAATTATTTGAATTGTTCTAGACCTTTTTAAACTGTTTAAGGATTACACTTTCTTTTTTTGAAAAATAATTGGCACCGCAAATAAATCATTCAAAATCAACATCGTCCTAAAGTAAGGAAGGTTTTTACGATTCTATTAATTAATGTGTTAAAATTATACTACCTGCATAACTTATCGAAATACAAAACAGTTTTTTGGGAAAACAAAAAAAAAGTTCAGTCGTGGAAAGCCAAATCATTTAACATGAACATCGTCTGACAAAGAGGCAGAGTCGTAATATCTTTATTAATTCAAGTATTCAAATTAAATAAATTATGATTTGTTTTAACAAAAACCTTATACGTTGTAAAATAGTCTGGCTGCGCTACATTTTTGGGCGATCCAGATGTAAAATAATGTACTTAACTTATTAAGTGGATCCGTAATATTTATCAACTAAACCATTGAAGTGACTCAAACGTTTCAAATTATTTAAATATTGAACCATTTGTTTGTTGATTTTTCATACAGAAACTACAATCCTCTTAAAGTGACGCAGAGTCGTAATATTTTCTTAATTAAATTGTTTTGCGTATCTAATGTTCCCCAAACCTATGAAATATGTACCTGATCTTTGAACGCATTAATAGTTGAAATACTTTTATTAATCAGATAGTGCGACTCTTCTGCGTTTTAGGATGATGCCGACTTTAATGATTGAAATATATTGTTAAATAGACCGTAACAAGTAATTTGCGAAATGATTATACAAATTGTTTAACAATGCAAAATT